ATGTCTACAACCACGACCACCATTATTCACTACCAAACCATGACCGTGATCACCTCGACAAGAATTTGTCCGAGACATGATGATGGATGAAGAAAGAGGATGTTGATGATGAGTACGTAAGAGAGCAGCGTCACAAGTATTACCCACCGTAGAATTGGAGGAGTGCACTGGAATAACAGGAGAGGAAGAACTGTCACCAACAATGGACAGCTTTTGAGAAATCATTTAAACACTTAATATTAATATTTATAATTTTAAAACACATAAATATTATTTTTATCAAATATCTAAGAAATCACCCCGATCTGAACTACTAACTCAGACTTTAGAAAGTTACATAAGTCGATTATTGAATTGGGCAGAAGATATCTGATGCAAGTGGGACTCCTTACGTACTACATATCTGGGGTTACCGTTGGTTCAAAATAGAAATTCCAAGGAGTTATGGCAGCCCACGGTGGATAAAATTCAATCCCGGGCAGCCCACGGTGGATAAAATTCAATCCCGGCTTGATGATTGTTTATCACTGGGAGGGCGAATAACTTAAGCGGGATATCTCAGATACGATGGTCTTAATATATGATTAAAGAAATATGTTACGAAAGCGCTACTTAAAACATTATTTTTTTTTTAGAAATGTTAATTTCGTTAACTCAATATTAATATTTCAGGTAAAAAAATATTTTAGATAGCGCTTTAACAGAAATGTTAAACATTTTAAGTAGCGTACAATATTAATATTTTCGGTAGAAAAAATAATATTTTAGTTAGCGCTTTACTGAAAATGTTAAAAAAATATTAACATTTCCGGTATGACATTTCCAGTTAGACATTTCCTTAACCTTATATTAAGGCTATTGTACATCGTAACTACCCAACTTAAGTTGGATCAGTACTATTCAATTTATCGGTTTTTTCTTATCATTGTTCATAATGTCAGTTGTAGTAGAGGAAAAAATAAATAGTATTATAGCGAAGTTTGTGTTCAAAGCGCAAAGGAAGGAAAATACACTGAGTCAGCTGGGAAGTAATATGTAAACCAAGAGCTTACGGGGATTAGGATTATCCAATTTAAGAACAAAGAACCAGTCCTTGCTCAATAAGTGAATTTAGCTGTTTGCTCGCAAGGACTGTCTATGGAAAAAGGTGATTGTTGCAAAATATGGGATCGCTCATACCTCGTTAATGCCCAAATCTGGTAATAGAAGGAATATGTCAAGGTTATAGAGGAACATTGTTGAGTCTCTTTTCTAGGAAGAGGAACAGTTCATGGAAAAATATTGATGCATATGCTAAGGGATGGGTATAAAATAGACTTTTGAGATGACTGTTGGACGGAAGTCCCTTCTCTAAGACTAGCTTTTCCAAGAATATTTTCAGAATATGCTTAATAGAGCTCAATTTAATGCAATAGGAGGGGACTCGTTAAAATGGGAGGGATCGTTTGATGGTTTATACTCACCAAAAACTTTCTACTCGGTGGTATCCTGTGTGGGGCTAAACGAGGATAGCATTTGGAAATACGTTTCGGTGAACTTTGCTCCACCAAAAGTAGAAGCCTTTGTGTGGAAAGCAATACTACAGAGGATTCCTACACGAGTAGAACTGCTGAAGTGTGGAATATCTGGTTTAGAATCGAATCTTTGTGATGTGTGTAACATGTTACCCGAATCGATTAAGCATCTATTATGCCATTGTGACTGTGTTTGGAGAGTATGACAACGTTGGTGTAAGCTATGGACTGTAGTTCTGATTATCCCCGCCGATGTCAAAATTCTATTGAGGTGTCGGGCAACACAAAAACGTGTGTAAAAGATTGATGTCTTTATGGTTGTTGAGTTTCTTTGGAATTGTGTGGACGCTGTGGACATGCAGAAATGAGACCATTTTTAAAGACATTTCATGTACAGTACTACAGTAGAAAGAGTGTTTGATTTAGCAGTCTTAAGGATCAGAGTATGGGCAAAACAGCAAATGGCCTGAGCTTCTTCCTTCCTTTCAAGATGTTTTATGTGGGTTGGGGGTGCGGGGGCTGCGTCCCGCGGTACGGTACATGGTTAATTTTATAATTATATACTAGGGTTTTCTATTATAAATAGAGATGTAACCTAAACTTATGAGAATTGAATAAATTTTTCTAGCGCCGTCTAGGCACCGAGGACGTAACCACATTGCCGAACCTCATTAAAATTTTTGTGTTCTTTTGTTTACTTTGCCTCAACACATTGGATATTGAGAGAGTGGTGTTTTCATCTTCGAAGCTGAGCCAAGGGTTGCCCTTTTGGTAGCTGATGAGGGCTCTTATCTCTACTTGTTTGTGTAAAAGCTTCCCATTGATTAACGAGTTATTTTATCTTTTTATTCATATCAATGTCATTTATTTTATTATTTTATATACAATTTTAAAATATATTTAAAATAATTAAAAATTGCTTTTAATACCTTAACTATATAATCTTTGTACAGATTGATTCATTAAAATTTTTTAATTCAAAAAAAATATAAAATTAAAATTAATAAAAACAAATTATAAACATAAATTTTAGAAGTTATACATAGTACAAGGACTAATGATAAATTATGACCAGAATAAAAATACTTCTTCGAATCGCTTGAATACCTAATGATTTTTGTCCAAAGCCAGAGAAGGGTGCATCCATCCAAAACTGAAATGGAGGCTTCTCCTCCTCTAGGACTACTTTTAATGTAGATTCCTATTATCCGAAAAGAACCATTTTTTTTCTCTTCCAAGCTTCTTCCCAAAGAACCTAACCCCCAACAGCGGCTGCTGTGATCTTCATCATCATCAAAACATGTCATCTCCTCCATCACAGGACGTGGTTCTGGCAGGCGCCACCCACCTTACTCGCCAAGAGCTACTCAAGCGGCGGTTGCAGCACCTGAGGCAGCTCTCTCGGTGTTACCGACGCCACTACTGGGCTCTTATGGACAACTTCAAAATCCAGTACAGGAACTATTATTGGAAGTTTGGTATCAGCCCTTTCAAGCAAAACTCTGTTCAAGACCTTGCTGATGATGATGCACCACTCACTGAAAGCCCCGCTGCAGATAATAATAATGTTAATGTTAATAATACTAACAGTAATTTTGGTTTGAATTTTAAGAATAGTCAACATTGTTCGTTTGTTGGATGCAAGTTCAAAGCCATGGCTTTGACTAGATTTTGCCATCTCCATATTCTCTCTGATTCCAAGCAGAAGCTCTATAAGGCTTGCACGTATGTCATCAAAAGGTATGTCTCTATTTTGTGTTTTTCTTTAATCTTAATGTAATTGGTACTATGTATGTATCTCTATCTGTGAATTAGAATGAGAAAGAGCATTTGATTGCTATAACCAAGGAAGGAAGTTGAGGTTTTCTTGCCACCCAGGTCTTGGCATAAGACAAAGAAAGATGCAAGATTTTATGTTAGGAAGACGGAATTTAGATATAAAATATTAGGAGACAAAACCATATTATTATTAGAAAATAAAAAGAAAATATCTAAATTATATGAAAATTTGAAATTTTCAGGTTGGTCCATCTATGCTCGGAGGTGAGTGTTCAAATGCACTTAGACACAATTGCTTTAGGTTTTGAAGTTTGAGGAATTATGGGTAGTTTAGGTTAATAAAAAGTTAAAGAGCTTTTTTTTCATGAAAATAATAATGATAAGGATGGTGAAGATCGATTTATTTATTTATTTATTATTGGCCTGAATTTGTTTGTATAGTGCTCATGCTGGGCCTATAACATGTGGGAAGCCAATACTCAGATCAGCCGTTCCTTCTCTGTGTACTGCCCACTTCCAAAAGACTCAGAAAAATGTAAACAGGGCATTGAAGAAGGCAAATCTTAATGTTTCCTCTTCGAGTAAGCTTGCTCCCATGTTTCATGTCATAGTGGCAGAATATGTACATCAAATACAAGCCAAAAGAAGAGCTGTATCGAGGGGAAGCACTAGTAAAGCTACTATCAAGGAAGAATGTCCTAGCTGAACCTTTCTTAATTGCTGCACATGTCACCAATGCTAAAGAAATCAAAGGTGAGACTGACCGACTCTTACTCGTATTTGATGTTTCGATACCCGTCCTAGCAAGCTCCTCGGTTTTTAATATGTCAAGATGTAGCTGTATTCTTTTCCTTTATGTCACTAGTATCACAATTCATATCGATGCTTCTGGTGATCTTTATTGTAAACTTTGGAGTTGAGAGGAGCATTTTGTGGAAACTTGATTTGAACCGGTGATCTTAAGATGAGGGACTTATATTAGTAAACTGAACCGAGAGAGAGAGAGACATAATTTATGTTCTATGTTTGTTTAGTTGTCTTGATGGTCAATCTCGTGATCTTGTTATCCCTCGATTCAGGTATCTTAAGTTGATGCCCGACAATACAAGTCAAAGTGCAATTTCCAACATCGACATCAGTGACACGAAAATCATAGGCATCCATGAAGTAGCTTAGCTTCTACTTGTAAATGATAGTAACAACCAATGTGCTTCAGCCAATGACCAATGTCGCATTCATGCCTTCTCACTCAGCTTGACGAGTATGCCGGAAGTGGTGACTCAAAGCCTTAAAACTTGGAACTGTAGATTCATCCTGATTGTTATAGCCTTCGTAGTATACTTTTGTGGTTCCTTTGAAAGACTTGTTAAGATCTTTTGCAAGTTGTATGTATGACTAAATCAAGGCTTGTATATTTTTTAACCAATTCAAATAGTTTAAACATGAGTGGAACACTCCTGGTCATTGGACTATGTTAATCAATCAATAACTCAGCTCCCAAAATGTGTGCATTTTTTTGGTTCCTCTGTTTTTAGGTTGTAAGCTATACCAGTCCGTATGAGCAGTTTTCATCAAAGTTTTACCGTATCCAAAACGATACATCAAAATTCATCTGTGCAATGTGTGTCGATATCAGAGCAAAGACAATACATCAACCAATACACCATTAATATTTTATCAATTCGTATAACAATGAAACTGAATACATCAATAACAAATGAAATATATTTCCCCTGGAACTGGCATCCATTTAATGTAATTCAACTACAGCTCGTTTTAACCAAGAGAGTGGTGACCTAATGCTGATGCAATTACATTGATACACTCAAACAATTTCTGTAGCCACACTAAACTCCCATATTTCTTCAGATACTGATTGGGAAACAGAACAAAAATCTTAATCAGCACTTCATGGTAGTAAACGCAAGACTTATCTCATGTTTGACTGGACCCAGCAGCTGATCTACGAAGGGGATGGCCTTGCTTATTGCTTGGACCGGCTGTGATGTCTATGACGCTTGCTAGAGCGTTCTTCCTTACCCTTAGAGCTCCTTTTCTGAGAGACATCTCCCCTCTCTGCAGTGCTCCTGGAATGGTAGTGCTCCTCTCTGTCCGAAGAACTCCACTTGTAGTTATGATCCCTCTCTACAGGAGTCGATTTTGGAGAATAATCCGACCAATCCTCGGGGCTTTTTCCATGTTGGCATTCTTCCTCCACACAACTCCTTTTTCTGAAGTCTCGCTTTCCCCCTGTTGTCCTTCTGTGTTCATCCCTCTCCATTGAGGGACTTCTTTGGGATAAATCTTCTCTCTCCGCAGAGCTCCTCTTGTGAGAGTATTCTTCCTTCTCCACTAAACTCCTAGGTTTCCGAGGGGGTGATGGGACCTAGAAACACATTCGGACAAGATGATATCATAATGACATCTTATTAGATTAGGCTAAACCCAAAAAAGAGGCAAACCAGTTCAGAGAAGATTCAAGACCAACCCCCCAAACCCCCCCCCCCCAACACGCACACACTAAAAAAAGAAGACAACTTGTAATTTATGAATAAAAATGAAAATATAATAAAATTTACATACACCAGCAACTGTAGTAAAACCAGGAAGCAAAGAAATGTACAAGTAAAAAAATAATGCATATCAGCAAGACTTATGCAACAATGTATTTATAAACCCGAAAAAGAGGCAAACCAGTTCAGAGAAGATTCAAGACCAATCCCCCCCACACACACTAAAAAAAGAAGACAACTTGTAATTTATGAATAAAAATGAAAATATAATAAAATTTACATACACCAGCAACTCTAGTAAAATCAGGAAGCAAAGAAAATGTACAAGTAAAAAATAATGCATATCAGCAAGACTTATGCAACAATGTATTTGTAAAGCTTATTTTGTCCCACTTTAGAATATCCATAATTCCATATGCATGCCAAGGGTTTGAATCAGTATACGAGAGTGAGGTGAAAGGGGCTGCACCTGGAAACGAGACATGTATCTTCCTTCAGGTGGAGGAGGAATGCCCAGTTTTTTCAAATCTTCAAATGGAATTGGTTGCCTGGTTTTCAAGGGGAAATAGAGAATGAGCAAACAGAAAGCTGCAGCCCCCTTTATCTAGCCACAAGAGCTAAAACCTTTTATGACCATGGGACTATTAGATTTTCACTATTTGGACCTTAATGAACCCAAAAGTTGTATTAAATAGATAGAAAATTAGCGGTCGATTGTGCATCAGATTTATCAGAATCATATAGCACACAGAGTTTCTGATAACTTAATGGATCAAAATATGCATAAAAATGATGGGAAAGACGATGCCTACAAGGGAGCTCTAAATGGTCTTTCTCGTCCTCCAAAACGAAGTTGTCCTGATTCCTTTCTACCACCAAGACCCCCTCCTGTTAGAAATTTGGAAATCTGTCAATATCGGTAACATTCCATAGCTAGAAGAAACGGGAAAAGATGAGAAAATCTCGACTGACCTAATCTTCTAGGAATCCACCCAGGCATCAATTGTTGCCTGTTGTAATCGACAAGAATTTCAGCATCATCAATAATTGAATGGTGGGCGTCCTGCAAATGGAGTAATCATCATACTTGTTCACCCTTTTTTAATTTTACAAAAATGGAAATTAAAGATGTAATCCCTGACTAGAATAAAACAAGAGAGAAAATGAATCAATGTTGAGTACCAGATATGCACGACGCATTTCTCTCTCGGATTCGAATTCAACAAAAGCATAACCCCGTGATGCGCCGGTAACTACACAATGCATCCCCTTAAGCTAAAATCTAACGGATAGATTAAAAAAAACTAATGTCCCAGAACTAAATGAATATAAAATTAAACCCTAAAAAATGCTACCGATGTGGCGAACTAAGCGCAAGTTTTTGACTCGACCATATTTGCTCATAGCCTGAAAAAAAAAACCGAAACAAATACAACATTTAAATCACAGGAAATCCAAAAAAATTGAAAAGTTTATAAGCCAAAACCAAAGAAAATAAAAAAATGTTTTAGGACCTTCTGGAGAGTGTGCTCTGTGGTCAAGTGAGATAGGCGACCGACAAAGATGGTGCGATAAGGGTCGCCGATGATTTTGGGGTCGCCCAAAGGGTCATCTGCAGCGAATTAATGAATCAAAGGGAAAAAAAGGGAGAAAGATGAAAAGTTTGAGAGAGAGGGAGAGATACATAGGGCAGCATTGGAGCATAGATGAGCTCGGAGAACGGCGTTATCGTGGGGGAGGATGTCGGTGCCGTCGATACTACCAGCCTGAATAGGATGATACGACTCTGCATAGAACACCGAGTTTATGTTGTTGCTGCTGCTGCTCATTATTCGTTTAGATATGTAACACAACTACATTGAGTTGGACTTACAAAATCTCCGAATCATTTTGGGTGCGAGTTTGAAAAGGGTTTAGGGTTGAAAAGTTCGATCATTTTAACTTGGATGTATTTCGTGTTTGGATTATTGGTCGAGTGAGAGATTTTTCCTTTTCCTCCCTTTCTATTTAATAATTAGTATAAGTAGATCTGCTCACGGTTCGAGTTGTTGGTAAATTTGATCTGATTTAATTAGAAAATAAGTAATTAAATAAGTGTTTAAACTTGTTTGATTTATCAAGATATCTATCGTTCTAATCGTTATAATTTTAGGTGCACGAGTAATAGCGACCGTTAAATAATTATGTTAAGTGACACATGTCACGCTATGATAATTTTAAAAATTTATTTTTTTAAAAAATAAAATTATTATATTTATTTAAAAAACTCTATTTTTTTCCTAAAATTACAAAAAACACCCGCAATTATTTAAAAATTCTAAACCCAAACCCTAACTAGAGATTAGCATGAGACCCAAATCCGACAGGCTCCAACCTGACCTGATCAGATCGATTTTTAAAAAAAAAAAAGAGTTTGAGTCAGGTTCGAGTTTAAAGTGAAAAATAGTCAACTCGACCCAAAAAATATAATTTACTTTATATATTAAAGAATAATTACAATAATACCCCTTTTATATATTATTTTCTTTCAATTAAGTTTCTATTTTTATTGAATAAAAATAATTTTTTAATAAATATATTATAAATATATTATTTCGTGCTGGGTTCGAATTTTAACTCAAAAAATCAAGCGGGGTGGAAGGGTTATATTTTTCGGGTCAGGTTCGGGTTTAGTGAAGGATTTAAAATTTTCTGGTCAAATCGGCTGGACTGAAAATCTGAGCCGACTCAACTCATGGCCATCCCTAACCCTAACCTCACTTGCCAATCATAATTGTTGTCGTCAATGCTGCCCTTGTCATCTCTCTTATTGGCCACCATCTCCCTTGATGTCGCATGTGTCGTTGGATTGCCTGGGGGTTTGAGTTCATCAAAGATGTAGTTTTAGGTGTCGTGATTTTTCCATTTCCTTTATCAAAGACATTGTCATCGAGTTTGGCTTTGTAACATCCCCAAATCCAGGTCAGTGACTAAATGAGAATTTTTGAAATTTGAGGATCAATTTATGAAATTTAAAAGTTCAAGGATTTAAATAGGAGTATTTCATAATTGGATTAAATTATAATTAGGGAAAGATTGAAAGGGTATTATGGTCTTTGTTCTTTAAAAGATATTTCCCCCCTTATATATGAGTGAAACACGTGGGAGGGAGAAGAGTTATCTGGAAACTCCTATTCTTCTTGCTTTCTTCTTCCTGTGGGTTCAAGCTCAAGTCTATAAGGTAAGTTTTATTCAGTTGGTTAATTTCTTGAATTTATAAGTAAGGTTGAAGTATTTGGGTATTATATAAGTTTAAGGTAAGCTTATATAAGCTTAAAACATTAAGAAGAGAAAATTAGAAAGGAAATTTGATTAAGGGTTGAGAAACGGATTCTTGATATAAAGAGGTTTTTGAAGTTTTATTGATGAATTTGACTTGTCATTAACCTAATTAAGGAATATGAATTTCTAGAATTTGATTTAGAACATGTTGCAAAGTTGGTTTAATTCTTAAATTTTATATGAATGATAGGATTTTGAGGTTTAAGAGGTGGTAAATGAGTATTCATTAGTTTAAGTAGGTGTATGTAAGGATATGAAAGGGGTTGAAATATAACATAATTGAGCTATAATGAAGTAAATTCCGTGCTTAAATTTGATTTATGGGCTGGTGTGTATCGGTACACATTCAATAGGTACCGATACATCAAAAGTAAAATCTGGGAAGACGTTCAAAGTGTACCGATACATTAAGGAGTGTATCGATACCCCCTTGAACAGGAAAAACTTTTGAATGTAATTTGTTTATCGATACATAGGTAGTGTATCGATACACACGTTAAGGAATGTACCGATACACTATAGTATGTATTGATACACTTCAAAGGGAAAATATAAATAAATCTTTCTTTTAGTCTAAGAAATGAAATATTAGAGTATATCAATTAGATACTGATAAGTATCAATATATGATTGTGTAGACATTGATCGAAAGCAAAGTTCAGATAAGTCGGCAAAGTAAGATACGCAAGAAAGAACAAGAGCTTAAGAGTGTTCATTGAGACCATGTAAGTACATGATAGTAAGTATAATTTATGTTATGGAATTAAGACTTGTGATAAGTCTAATTCTGATATTAGGTTACATGAGTATGTGAATATAAGCATATAGGGATATAATGCTTAGATGTGTTTGAGCTCATGCATATGTTTAGAAGTAAGTATATTTCTATATGTTATATGTGTGAATACATGTCTGAGTGAATATGTCTTGTATGTATTACATATATGTGATTTATATGAATATAAATGGATAAAATATAAGATAAATGAAAAGATATGAACTATATGTGATACATGATATATTTGTTAGGTAATATATGTGACCACATGATAATATAGTATAATTTATGAGATACTAAACTAATGAAATATGTGAAAAGGAAGTATGAGTTATGTGATGAGTATCTATGTGCTCATATGTTCATGAGAAGATATGAGAATAAGATATAAGCAACATGACATGTGATATGAGATATGTGATAGGAAGTTATGAGACTCCAAGTGAGTACTACAAGATATATGTGATAAGAAGCCATGAGCTTATATGTGTATATGATATGAATATGTGAAAATGTGATAACATAAATAATAATGCCCATGTTATATGTTATGAGAGCTAGGGGTATAGTTGGCATGCCAATAGTCGAGGGTTCTATGTGGTCCTTCGGGACATATGTGATATGTGGTTCTTCGGGACACAGTGGTCATTCGGGACAAATTTCTATGCGCCCCTAGTGGGATTTATATGAGCTGTGGTGACAGCATTGTGCACAACCTCTATGTACTCACATACCTTCAGTTCGTAAAAATATACATGGCTTTAAAGAAAATAAATAACTTGTCATGATAATATGTGTGTTCTTTTGTGAAATGATATTTGTGTTATGTGACATGTATAAAAGATAAGTTCGCAATCATATGATAATAGGAATTAGGATAATAATTATAATGAGTGTATATGTGTCTCTGTGATATGAAGTGATATATGTGATATACGATAGTAAGAAGGTTAAGTATAAGAATAAATAACCAAGAGGTAAGAATGAATATAATATAGATAATGATATGAGGTTATTGATAATAATAACATGATTCATATATGTGTATCTTTGAATATATGTAATGTTATATTGTTTTGTGTGATAGTATGATATGATATGTTAATGATGGTTTAAGTATGAATAGGAGTATGATGTTGTATTACATGAGATATATATTTAGATATATATATACACATTTGTTAGTTATATTGTGTATTTACATGTCTTACTAAGTCTATGACTTAGCTTGTAAGTGTCTTATACGTAGGTGTGGATAAGTCAGAAGATCAAGCTTCGGATCAATAGAGCAGCATATCTCCACTCAAAGATCGGATCAGAAATATTTTGTAAAGGTATGTCTTGTTATATAATTTAGTATGTTGACAGTTAACTAAGTCATTAGATATGTACGCTCTGATGAAGTCTGTTAAGGTTTCGAACATGTTTATGTAAAAGAATTTCTTTATAGAATAGAAGTTTTAAATTTTCTATGTTTTTTTATAAATGTACATGTTTTAAATAGTTAATGTGACATCTCATATTCGTATTCGAGTCGGATACGGGTTGGGGGTGCTATATTTAATGGTATCAGAGCTAAGGTTTAACCGATTCTAGGCTTAAACCGAAGTTAAAAGTGTTTTGAAAAAGTATACATACCAACAAAAAGTGAAAGTTTATGATATGTTGGAGTCATGAGTATGATGTTTTCTAATAATGTTATATGGTTATATATTAGATTTCTGATCGTGAGAGTCCTCGAAGTGAAAGAAGAAATAATAGACCTGAGTGTAGTATCAATTCACCTGCCCTGACCAGGCATGGTGAAAAGTGAACACCTCCAGAAGTACCAATGAGAGATTAAGGGTTATTTTTTGGAATGTTAAACACTATTTTTTCACGTTTTCAACCCTCTGTGCCCTCAACTCCTCAAATGAATATAACTAAAGAATTAAAAGGTTTAGGAGCACCTGAGTTTAAGGGTGAAGCTGAGGAAGATCTAGTTGCTGTAGATTGTCGAAACGATTTTTGAAGTGGGAGCGAGATTTTGAAAACCGCGTCATTTTTAATTATTCTCGTAAGATTGAACTTAAATTAAAAACAATGTGATTTTAGAAAACCTCTCGTTTCAAAAATTTGAGAATTCATTCCATATAAAAACACAGGTTCGAAGAGTCGCCACTAATCTTTGATTAAGGTGTGATTGGACACCCAAAAATGTTGTCATTTTAAATAAAAATTAATTTTAATTAAAATAACAAATTTAGGTTTGTGTTACCAGAAAATGAGTTCGGGAGTCGGTTACGCGTGGGGAAGGATTAGCACCCCCACAACGCCCTAAATCGGTACCTCGTCGATTAATTAATGTCTTTGCAATGAACTTTACAAATTCGATTTTAATTTGATTTATGATCCCCGACAAAACAACAACACATGAGTTTTACAATATTCAAAAGCACCAAAATAGATTAAATTAAAATTACCAGGCCTTTAGAAAGATAAAGAATATTCGATTATTTACAAATATCGAGGCCAGATCTTATATAAGTTCTAACTATCTTTTCTTGATAAATTTAAATAGCCGAACATTTCTTTTTCTTCCATTCCCAAATTTTAAAGTGATAAATCAATTTCTTAGGTGTTACTGATGGGATAAAATTTTAATTTAAAATCATCGAAAGCGGATATCTAATCAGTTAAGACAACCCACTTAAAATAATTTTAAATTAAAAGGATATTACCCTTAATTAAATTATGTAATAATTTCGAGTTATGCTCATGAGGCTATCATGCGAATTATGCAAAAAGGATGTCATGCAAAAATTAATTAAATAAAAGGATACATTACATCTAAATTAATGCTTATAAACCACGTAGTAACATAT